TTTTTTTTTTAATAATTCTAATTAATCCTTTTTCCCAGTATTTTAATTCACAATTTTTTTTCGCAATTTTTGTTGAAATTCGAAATTTTTTTTACAATTCGGAACTACCTTTCTTTTAAAAATGTTATTCTAAACCCCTCAATTAATTTCGACTAAATTCAATTAATTCACGACTGAATTAATCTCTTTATTCGAAATTAATTATCCTTTTTCTGAAATGTCGACATTTTTCTTTTTGAAAAATTCTTGCCAAATATTTTAAAATTTTCCTCTTTCTAATTTTATTTTATTTTTCAGAATTTTATTTATTTCTCCATTTTTCCCCGTAATTCGAAAATATTTTCTTTCGAAATTTCACATTTTCTTGTAAATAAATTTAAATCTAAATCAGAATTTATTTTTTTTAAATTAATTAACTTTTTGTTCAACGTTTATTTTTGGGAAAAAAACAAAAAAACAAAAACTTGTGAATTATCTTTATTTTTGAATTTATTAATAAATAAAAAAGGGAATTCCCCCCCACCCTCCACATGGCACCACGCCAAACCAATAACTCCTAACGTGCTGCCGCCGCCGCCACCGCTGCTGCTACATCTTCCACCCTCGTTCAGGCCACGTCCTCCACCCCCTCTTCCCCCGACATGGCCGCATCCTCCATCAACATGTCTGACATCCGCACCGACTCAGTCGATAGCATCGCCCGCAACCTCGCCGGCGAACAACCACTAGCAAACACCGCCACCCCTGACCTCTCTGCCATCCTCCACGCACTCAACACCTTCCAAACCTCCGTCACCGCCTCTCTCGACGACATAAAGGCCAACGTGTCATCTTTATGCAACCGCGTCACCACGCTCGAAGGGACCACCCCCCCCATCACGGTCGTCACCACCATGCAAACCACTCCAACCCCCACAGTGCAAACCACTCCAACCTCCACAGCCGCCTCTAGCAACACCCCCCCGCCAACCTCCTCTACTCCTACCACCTCTCCCGCCATATCCACCAACCCTTCAATCCCCACCACCGTTCCGTTCCCTCCACCTCCTCCCTCATTCGGCGCATCCAGCACACCGCCTCATTCCTCGCCCATCAAAGTCACCCCTTCCCCTCCCCGCACTCCCAAACCCTCTCCCAACCCATCATGACCACCTCCACCATCCCCACCATCYGTCCCACCTATTCCCAAGTCTCCTCCGAGGCTTTCCCCGCAATGCCACAACTTCCACCCAACTACCTCCTTGAGGACAACAACCAAATCGACCACACCTGCTACGACACCGCCCCCGATAACCTCAGCTTCAACACCCTCGCGCAGATCGTTCACTGCGACGGTGAAATCCCCCGTTCCTTCCGATCTGGCGAAATCATGTCCTTCTCCGGCCTCCCCCACGAGGACGTTTTCCTCTTCCTAACCCAGCTTCAGAACTCTTTTCAGCTCCACCACATGCCCCTTGCCCACTGGCTCCCCATTGGTACCTCCCGCCTCCTCGGCAATGCAGCCAAATGGTGGATGGCTGAAGCTAGCAACCGCCAAGCCTCCGGAGGACCACGCCCCACCTTCCTCCAATGGGCCACCCTCCTCACTGCCACCTTCCGCCCCCAGAAAACCATTGACGACTACCTTGAACAATTCTGCCACCT